CTGTTCTACCTGAGACACCCTGTCCTGCCTGAGACACTCTGTTCTACCTGAGACACCCTGTCCTACCTGAGACACCCTGTTCTACCTGAGACACCCTGTCCTACCTGAGACACCCTGTTCTACCTGAGACACCCTGTCCTACCTGAGACCCTCTGTCCTACCTGTGACACCCTGTTCTACCTGAGACACCCTGTCCTACCTGAGACCCTCTGTTCTACCTGAGACACTCTGTCCTACCTGCTGCCTCTGACTCTCTGTATTCAGCTCCTACATCAACAGAGAGATTAAGTATTATGTTTTTACTGCCACCTGAATTCAGTCAGCTTTAAAAAGTCAAGAAAATAATACGTAAATTATGAAGATAGCAGATTAATTCAGAGAAATAATCTGTGATTTATGAATGAAAATTATAACAGGGAATCAATAAATATCACCAGAGTGGACCTGGACTCAATCTTAGCATTAAAATACCGTTTATCACACTGATTTAAAAAAAAAAACCTCAATAATAATGCCATCACTAAATGATTGCTAATGTTAGCTGATAGATAACTAGCAGCAAGCTAACTTTTCATAAGAAAAATAACAGCCCTGTCCTACTTTTTGACTTATTTTTTGGTCCTTTGTAAAGAATAAAGTTTTTCCAGGAGCTGGACGTTATCAGACCATTACCTGCTCCAGTAGCTCTGAAGCTCTGACCACCACGTTGTTTTACAGCAGACAGCTAGCACCGCGCGCGTGTACGTGTCTGCACTTCAGACTCTGAAGTTCAGAAAAAAGGAAGGAAGGAAGGAAGGAAGTGGGTGAGGGGGAAGGTGTCGCAGGTTCGCAGTAGTGCTCCTGTATGGGATGAGAAGCAATAGCAGGAGTGGGGAAGGGGCGGAAGAGAGGAAGCGGCGCAGCTAATTTTTTTTCTCGGAAAAAGGTAGACACAGCAGTTGCTGCTGCCTACTGTCGGGAAATGTAGATGCAAGCAAAGGAAAAAAGATGTGCGAATATTGGTGGGGACTGTCCCTGTCCGGCCAAAGTTGGTGAGGACATGTCCACACCAGTCCTTCAGAAAGTTACGCCCTTGCTTCAACCTCGTTCCTCATCCTGCAGGTTTCATCTGTTTCCCTGCTTCTACACACCTGATTCAAAAAATTTAATTACCTCCTCAGAAGCCTGTCAATTACTCATTATTTCAGTCAGGTGTGTTGAGGCAGGGAAACATCTATGCAGGACAGTGGGTCATGAGGAACAGAAAAACATTTCTCTAAACAATAAAAGTAAGTCAATCTAATAACTTAGGGAGTTTATTACTAAAACCACACCAGGTCATTAAAGTCTCTCTGCAGCAGGTTCCACATGTTCCCTCCCACCAAGTGGTACAAAGAGTCGGTGTGTTCGTATCATAACCGTGCTGTACGTACTGCTGTGTACCTGAGCTGAACTAATATCCACAGGAGATAATGTGAAACCTCAGACTGAATGAGTCAAATGTGGTCTGGTTGTTTTGGCAAAAAGCCTCCAGGAAGGAGCAGAATACAACGACTCTTATTTTAACAGAGATTCCAGGGAATCCCTTCAAGGTGTTTCCTTGAAGATAATAAAAAGTAATCCTGTGTCTCGTTTCTGGAAAAACGACACCCACATGGTTATTAACCTCAGCAGCCTGCTTTTTATGGCTCAAGTCGTGGCTTGTTCGGTTTGATTAAGAATAACAAACGTTTTGTAACATTTTATGTTCTTTATCGTCACCTTCCTAAAATTATCACCTAACTGAAAAACGTAACCAAAAATTTAACATGACATTTTTCGTGTTTCCTGGAAAACTTGAAAAGAGAAAGTATTATTTGTCTTACACAAGGTCTTCAGAAGAACCAGGGTCAAACCAGGTGTGTCAAATCAGGGAAATATCTAAAACAGGGGTCACCAAACTTTTCCCTGTAAGGGCCACATAACTTTTCCCTTCTCTGGTGGGGGGCCGGAGTCAGTTTGTAACAGAAAAAGTGTGACTATTGCAGGAGTGCCTAAATGTAAAAATTTATTGTTTTCCAGAAAGCACAGTCAAATAACCCTCTCTGGGTTCTTCACAGTATRTATTCTGCTGAGCTAACAGTCCACTTTTTAGCTTTGAGAGTTTGTTTGCTCGCATTTGGCCTTGCAAGCTGTCATACTTGTCTTTGTGACGGGATTCATAGTGTCGCTGCAGATTGTATTCGTCGAATACCGCCACCACCTCTTGACAGATGAACAAAAAAATAATCGTTTGTCCACTGCAGCTTAAATGCCCTGC